TCCCAAGATGAGAAAACCGGAGTGGAAGCCCAGGATAACACCAAAACGAGGCATAGAACTAAAGCCAGAAAGCTCTCACTCTCCCTCAGAGAAGAGTGTGCCTTTAGGGGAACAGAGGTCCCCACAGGGACCTACCACTAACACTCAGCTTTTTGTGATTAGACATACACAACAACCTGAGAGGTAGACAAATATTAGTTATAATTTTACAGACAAATTCTAGAGGCAGAGGCTGATTAAAGAACATTAACCTTTACCACACTAGGTAAAGCTTACTGACCCTAGGACATAAAAGGGAGTCAAGGGCCACACAAGGAAGCCACTTTCTCTCTCTATGACTCTGCAAGCTTTCTGACATAGTTTTTGAATATTTGCCATATCAATACACTGCGCCAGGCGTTATGGGAAAAATAAACGAGTGTATAAAACCTGGCTCCTATTGTTGAGGAGGTGAAAATTCAATATTTACCTATATATGTGATGGTATAGTAGTAAGTTTGAATCTTATCTCCACCACTGATTAAATTTAGGAATTTGGGGTAATTGTTTAACTTCTCTACCTTTCAAATCAACTTTTCAGGGTTGTTGTTAGGACTGGATATATCATATATTAATATACTTGCACATACCAAACCCTCAATAAATGCCAGCTTTTATTATGTGTTCATACACATAAACTATGTTCACTTTCGCTTTCTTCAAATAAAAGAATGATATAAGAATTAGAACAAATCTCTCAGTTAACTTTTAGAATTTTAATAATTATATCTTAGGATTTCAGAGAGAGAAATATCACCCACTTACTCCAGATATAGACTGTGTGCAAACAGAGTATGATATTGTGGAGTCTCGTGTTAAAATAAAAAATAATGAGTTTGAAAAGAATGGCCCTTTACTGAATTATCATGTAAAATATTTAGTACTAGGACAGAAAAAGAATTCGAAGAAATAGAGAATAATTAGAAATGTAAAATAATTTTCTCACAGAGACAATTCAGTTGATGTTTTCAAAGAAGGTGAATCCAAACAATGAAATAAATCTCTAGAAGAGAGAACAAACTGAAAGGAAATTAAGGGTAATGCTAACGTCTCTTAAACAAAACAATAAGCTTAACATACAGTGTAACTTAGTGTTTAAGAGTATGGATTCTGAAGTCAAATTGTCTAGGTTCAAATTCCAGCTCTGGCATTGCAGCAAGTTCTTTCCTTACTTCTCTGTACATCAAAATATATTAGAATCTGTCATTATATTGTTTGGATAATTGAATGGCTAATGTACACAAAGTACTACTTAGAACATTGCCTGGCATATAGTAAGTCCAAAACAAATGTTATCATCATCATCATCATCATTGTCCTCATCTTCATTAAAATTTTAATTATAGATATGGTAAGCACAATTCTAAGAAGCATCTCAGAAGAGGCAGTTTCATAGAGCCAAGAAGGAATGATTCTTTTGTGTGATGGTTAACTTGACTATGGTTAGTTAACGTATTGGTGAGAATAAGATGCCAGTTTGTCCGAAGTTAAAGATTTGATTTTCCTGTGGGTCTGCTGGCTGCATTCCATGACCACAGATTAACACAATAATACTGTATTCAATGAACTCTCCTGGTTTTAACAAGATGACTGGTGAGAAAATGTAAATTGATTAATCCAAATTCATGAACTTTAGAAAAAAAATGAATCTAAAAATACTTGCCCATTCATCACAGTTTGGTCACATGGTCTTAATATATTATAAATTCTAGGACTATAAAAATATTTAAAGACAATCTGGAGCCATGTTGTTAATTTTTATAGAAAAAAATAGACTCAGAGACAAAAAGTGACTTAAACAAGATCACATGATTACTTTGTGACAGAGCTAGAATTCTTAGCCCGTGTTTTGTTGGGTTTTGTTATATTTTTTTATTACCCTACATTCATTAAATATAGAGTGCTTTTATTATCTCTGAGAAATTCCTATTTAAAAATTCAATTTCTGTAATTATAGTTTATTATTGTATTACACAGAACTCAGTCCCAGCAACAGGATGTGGGTCTTTATTATGAAAAGATGGGAAGCCATTTTAAGGTACTGAGAAGGTAAGGTAAAGATAGACATGACCTGACTTAAATTTTTAAGACATCACTTTGCCTTAAGAATAGATGGTGGGGAAGGGAAAGGATCAAATAGGAGGTTATTGCAATAACCAACATAAGAGATGATGGTGGCTTGGACCAGGATGGTAGCAATAAGAATGGCAGTAAATTGTCAAAGTCTGGATATGTTTTGATGGTCACACCAATGTTTCCTTTTATGTTGGATGTGAAGTGTGAGAGAAAAGAGAAGTCATGAAGGCAAGAGAATATAAATCTTCATTCAGAAAGTTTAATTTTTTAAATTAAATATCTTGCTGCAATCTACATGATGATTTCCTGTTTTTGCCTCTATGAAAAGATCCATCATTATCCGCACAATGCCCTCTTGTGAATCTGGCAGCAGCCAGAATCATAGCATGTTTTGTCAAAGAAAGTAAACAATGGCTCCCGACCTCAAAGGAATTTACCATTTGATAAATGAAACCCCCTTTAAATAAAAGGGAGGTATATTTGACAGCATTATAAACATAGCTTGAAGTTGCAACTTGATATTGAACACCCTTCAGGACATGCCTGCTAAAAAGAGGGAACTGAGCCCACCAAATGTCTATTGGCATGATAGAGGAGCATTTGGGATAGAATTCATCCCACAGGAAGTAGGAGAATCAAACATCTGAAGGTATAGCTAATTCTAGGTGTCATGTAGTGTTACTATTTGGCATTGTCCCCTGCTCAGATCCCTATGGACTCAAATCTAGACTCATATCTGGGAGAGAGCTGTGAACAAAGAATGAAAAACAAAGAAGGTTATTTTCCCCCAAATCCTCTAAGATGTGAGAGTAAAAGCCAATAGCACGCTGAGAGACCCTCATGGAATGCAGCCCAGAAAGGCAGAGAAGCGCAGAGTGTGGGGCATAGCTTTGGCCTCTCAAAGGCTCCATGCATCACTGGCGGTAACCCTTGCTACAGAGAGGAGCATTCACTGTGATGAAAGTTCCCTGGATGTGTCAGTAGAACCCAACAGAAGTGGGGCAGAGATGAAGAGGAATAAAAGAAGTAGATACAACATGGAGCTTACTTCTTTATGAACAAGCACACGTGACTCTCAGAAACACTTGCATGAGCTCAGATGCATTATTAGCAGGAGAGGTAGGCTTATATTAACACCCTTGTCCAGCTTTTAAAAATAATAATGGGGGAATGAGTTCTTTATACTCCAATTACTCACTGCAGCATTTTGTATAATTATTTTTCACAGTTAGGCAGTCTGTGTACCCCAAAGCTCACATATTTGCCACATTTGTTCAAGATCTCCAAATTCAAGTAGATAGCTTCTTCAGGGATATTAGAGAGAACGAATCTACAAACTAGACAAAGAGAACCAAGTTGTTCTCCTGAAAATGTTAAGCCTGAGATTTTTTTTTTTTAAACAAGCACCCTTCATAAAAGCAGCCATTTTACAAAATCAGTGAAAAAGACGAAATATCTGCAGGCCATCTTTCCTGGTGCAGGTATTAGAAACTTACTCCCGGTAACACTTCAACAATGCTGCTTACATCCTTTTCACTCACAAAAGAAATAATGATCCTTCTTTAAAAACTCCTTAAAAGACTTGATTTCTTGAGTAGCTGCATCATGCTGAAGATGCGAAAATGATGTTTTGAAGCAGTGAACCAATTTTACCCAAATTCAATAATTTTCTTAATCTTGAATTATACTTTGCCTTTGACTCCATACCTCCTCATGCCTAAAGGGTATTGTTTTTTGTTTCTTTATTAATTTAGTTGTATTTCTATCCTGCCTCCTTCTCGAAAGCCTTTGAGGTGTTCTGCACCTCTAGTTCCAGATGATGGTGATATTGGTTTTACTATTGTAGTCATTACCACAAGCCCAAGGACAAGAGGGAAAGGCCCAGTGAGGAGCCAACACCACCACCCTGTTTCCTAAAGAGGGTGAGTGGCTGAGGTTCTTTTGGGTGAGATTGAATGTACTCTCTAGCAAGTAGAGGAATTGGGAGAAGAGAAAGAAATCTGGAAGATGAGTGTGACAGAGTCGTAGATAAGAGGTGGCTTTCATTCAGGCAAACTCAGTAGGTTCCTTGGAATATTTTACCAGTTCTTTTATGTGATATTAGAAGATGGCAGATTAAACAAGATACCTGTTAAGTCAAAACCTCTATGAAAAATACAATGGTACTGAAAATCTATTTCTATATAAGTACATATGATCTAGAAAGAAGAGCAGAGATTTTGGAACCCACCACCCGCAATTCCAGAAATCACATTTTGAAAGCATCACCATTAGCCATCTTATAAGTGTAAGAAATTATACTATCAAGTTCCAAAGTTCAGATACTTGTTTTCATTTGCATTTAACCAACACTTTAAATTTCAATTCTTAATATATATTTCCATATTCACTGCTGACCTCCATCCACCAATACGCATTACGATTTCTGTGCTTAAGATGTATGAATACATAAGCATGTGTGTGTGTGTGTGTGTGTGTGTGTGTGTGTGTGTGTTTGGGGGATGGGGTGGAAAGGGTGGGAAGCAAATGAAAAGAATAATTGTCCAGAACAAGACATTCTGGCAACTTCTCCCTCTTTTCTGAAATAATCTTATCTTGTCACTGACTGCTCTGCTCTCATCTGTCAGGAAAATGACAACAGCGCCACTCTCAGTGAAATCCAGGAACTAATGTTCAACCCAGTAGAGCACACCTTACCATCTTTGGAGTCCAGTTTTGTGTGCAAAGTGTGTGTGTGTGTGTGTGTGTGTGTGTGTGTGTGTGTGTGT